TGCTCAGCGGGAAGCCTGCTTCTCCCTCTCCCACTCCCCCTGCTTGTGTTCCTGCTCTCGCTGTCTCTGTCAAATAAATAAATAAAATCTTTAAAATAAAAAAAAAATAAAATTGTATCATCTAGAACTAATGATGTAATGTATGGGGATTAACATAAGAATAAAAAAAAATTGTAAAAAAAAAAAAATAAAAAAAAAATAAAATTGTATCTTTGTGTTAACAGACTTGTACTGAGCACAGTCGTAAAGATGCCACACTCCATACCTTGAACTTGAGGAACGTGGTTTTGGTTTTCTGTCATGTGCCCAGGATGCTGAGGCAGGGGAAAACGTATGCTGTTGATTTTCTGTGTCACACAGCACAACCAGCACCTATACACACAGCTTCCAGAAGGATAGAGCCCCTCCACTGGGACCTAAACCCTCAAAACTCCACTGGGAACACCTAGCTTTAAGCCCAGTGTAACAGTCTGTTCTATCTTTTGCCCAAATCTGGAATGGCAGATCTGGTCCAGGTCTGGACTCTGGAACCTCTGGCCCTAAACCAAGTACTATGGACACATCATATTTAGAAAGACATTAGTTTAATGCAGGAAAAATAGGAACAGCCTTTCTAAACATCATATTGCAGTTAAAATTAGAATGATCTCCTGGTATCTCTGAGCCATGTTAAGTGAGGGTAACTATCATCAGTTTCTTCAATGGATAGCTGATAGAATCAATCAAAATCAGCAGGACCTGTACTTCAGAGTGGTTTTCATCTTGCCTTTTAACAGGAATCATGAATGTGGGCTAACCAATGTATATTGTCCCTCTCTTTCCTTGTGGCAATCATCAACATACACTGGTGAAGTGGCTAGTTTGGATGCAGGACCCAGTCTGTTTCTAGGACACAGAAAAATGCCCCCTGGCCCCTTTAGGGTCCATATCCAATATGTCATCTTATTGGCTTTCTGTGCCAACTCACTCAAGAAAAGAACCCAGATGATCCCTGCTACGAATGCTTTACATTGCCATGAAATTGGGCAATGCAATAAGCAAAAATTAACCACAAAGGAAAAGAATTCTCATTTCTACTCCTTCTGAGCATTGGAATCCATGCAGCTGGAAGGGTGTAGAGTTGAGAGAGGAAGCATGGGGTTATGGAGCTCTTCAGCTTTAAGCTCAGTTCCGGATGGCAAGCAAGAAACCATGTCAAAGTTCAGTGGTCATAATTGCAAGCAGGCACTGAATGACAGATGGCAGGGGAAAGTGGAGTAACTAAGAGACGTTCACTCTTCTTTGCTGTCACCTCTAGCCCTAAGACTGCAGAAACGAAAAACAAAACTGGCCAATCTTAAGCTTATCACGGATTGTTTCATTATCGTGGACTGTTTCCTGAAACTGCACTTGCAACAGCAATTAGCTTGAAGCATACATGGCTAAGGACATCCTTATTAAACAGCAATTTTTTAACCACCACAAGGAACATAGTGTTTTTTAAGGTATAACAATATGCTGAATGCAACTGAAGAACTCAAAACCCTCTTTTGCAACATTGCTGTAGCTAGCAGAAGTAACAATCTGAAAAAAACGAAAGTCTGAACCCCCAACCAATACAGCCATTTCAGTCAAAGTGTTAGGTAGAAGCTGGAAATGAGCACTGGAGGGAACACCACGAGGCAGAGTCCCAAGTCCTTGAAGGGGAATGATAGAGACATGAACTGGAGACAAGGATGGTGACAAATAAGCTACATATTAAAAGCCCAGGAGCACCACATCCTGACCTCGTGGTTTCTGAGACTTAAGGCTGACAGACCAAAGAGGTGCGGAACATGCCCTCTCCTCTTCCACCTCTGCCCCAGGGTAATCTCTACACACATTATATTGCATTTGCAATGTAGGTACAGCCCTCCGGGATGGAGAAAGGCTGGCATGATGATTCATAGTATGAACCTTGTAGGATCCAAAATTCCCCTTTCCAACTTGTGGGAGGAGTTCCCCAAATGACCGGAAGCAGCCTCCATTAGAGACCACCCCAATGCACTTCACAGCTCCTCCCAGATCAGAGAGACCCAATAATATCCAATCCATAAACAACCTAGGGGCTGCTTCCACCTCATGGAACATGCCCACTCTCCCACCTTGAGAGTACACCTCCGCTTTAATAAACTACTTTGTGCTTGCTACTTTCCTTCTGGTGGTCTTTATTCGAGCACTGATCCCCTCCTAAATCTGCCCGTGGGGAATCCAAGGACCGAGACCTTCATCACGCAATGCAGACTCTCTCTCATCCATAACAAAAGCAGTATATGTGCTCAGTTGATATTATTTCAGATTTCTTCGTGAATATAATGCTGTTCTTTTGTCTTTCTAGGCAGGAGTGTATTCCCTCTACCAGTGTATCTGAGAAATCAGAAGAAAGTTAAAATGTGTTCAGTAAGCTCAAGGAGTTAACAAGTTCCCCTTGTTAATAGCAAATAAAATCAATCAATTAACACGTACCTGAGTATGTATGATGTGAGAGCCCTCTTTTGGTGATCTCTAGTCTTTTTCTAGGCATTACTATGTCTGTATTGATTTCTCTAAGGAGCTGTAGCTATACATCAACAATGCCTACTAAAAAATCCACCTAAATGCTGTACAAGTACATAGAAGTGATTCAAAACCGATCTCCTTACTTCCCCCACCTCGTGCCTCTCCTCAGATACTTCACCAAATGCTATGCTTTACCTTCTCTCTTACCATTTATATCTAAGTGGTCCATTTATTACTGGTTTGAGTTTGACATGCACCCAGCACCGAGCACAATGCCTAACACTTAGACTGCGTTCAATAATTACCTGTTGATTTTATTAGTGAATCTCTTCTGTCACTGGCTTCATTAAAATTGTCATTTTTTTTTCCTCAGCCAGTCTGTTGCTATTTCTTCCCTAAGTAGTTTTGCTAATCTTGTTTTTCCAGCCTTAAAATCTTTCAACATCCAGCAGTCACCTTCAGAGAGATCTATCAGCCAAGGTGAAATGATTCACGACAAGCCTCTCCTCTTCTACCACACTCTCCTTCATGCATCCTCTGATTTTAGCCATGCCAAAATCATGTCTTCCATACTTTCATGTCTGTACACATGAAGTTTCTATTGGTTGGAAATACCTTTTGTCTGTGGCAGAGACTTTCCACCAAACCCATTTCTCTTCTTCATGGACAAAGGACTGGCCTGCATTTCTCCCCTAAGAGTTATTTCCGAACAAATTCCCATCAACCTTCCCCTGCAGCCAGCTTGATGCAGATGAGTATGACAAACTTGAACGTGACAAAAACAAAAACAAACAAATAAACAAAAAAATGAAGGAGCCTACATCTCTGAATCACTGCTTGAATAAGAAGTCCATGTCAATAATAAGCAATTATTTTATGCTTTATATGGACAAAAATAAATGTCAACTCTCTTAGACCATTTAGATTAAAGGTGTATCTTTATAATTAGTAATTGTGAAGAATGAGGAAGAGCCTGAAATTTTAGCCTACCTGTAAGCTAACCAGTGAGCCTGCCAAAGATGCTGCACAAGACTCCTTGGTGAGAGAAACAAAGCTTATTACAGCAATAGCAGTAGCCAGAGGATCAGGATTTGTGCTGGGTCCCCAAGCCCCAATTCCCACAGGGAGAAGTAAAAACGACAAGGTGACACTTGCACAAGCAATGGGTTGCATTACAAGAAAGGAATCCCAAGCACAGTGAACCCGAACCTTTGGTAATGGGTGATAAGCATGTCTCTTCATGGCTATAGAGGTAAACATCACGTTTACTACACCTGACTATGAGCATGCCTACATTTTACTTTAGAGGCAAATGGTATCTTCTATCTTCTAAGATTTTAAGCACCCTTAGCCTTTGCTCCAGAAGGAGACACTCTATCATTTAAAGCTCTTCCCAATATAAAAATTCTTGAAAAGATAGTTTGGAACCAAGACACTTGTAACTCTGCTTATAGACATATAGAAATTCAAGACACACCTGGAGAATTATTTCCCAATACTATCCACTCTTCATTTTTTTTTTTAAGATTCTTTTTTAAGATTTTCTTTGTGAGATAAAGAGACAGAGAGCACAAGCAGGGAGAGCGACAGAGGCAGAGGGAGAAGCAGGCTTCCCGCTGAGCGGGGAGCCCAATGCGGGACTCGATCCCAGGACCCTGGGATCATGACCTGAGCTGAAGGCAGATGCTTAGCCGACTGAGCCACCCAGGTGTCTCTCCACTCT